CTGCCTCGTCCGCCCCGGCGTCCCGCCCCCGGGGCTCCTCGCCCATTGCTCTCCACCGCGAGTCCCCAGCCTGTGGGCAAAGCCCACCCGGTCCACTGAGCAGGTAAGACACTGGCGTCCGAGGTTAGACGGCAGGAAACACTGCCCGCGGCCAGGGACCTCGGGGACTTGTGGCTCTAACGAGACCACAGGGCTCCAGGGCGAGAGAGCTGCCCCGCTTCCTCGGGCAGGAAACAGACGGGTCAACTAGGGACGTCCCCTGGGGACCAGAATTTTCGGGTGCTTTCTGGGGGGTCGAGCTCGATGATCTCTGATCTCCGATCTCTGCGGCTCCCGGCCACTCAAGACGGGGCGCCGGTGGGTCCCCCAGGTGGAAGCCTGATCGAGGGTGTCTGAACTTCCAGGACACACGCGCGAATTCCAGCAGGAAGCGTTAGTCTGGAAAATACGGGAAATCGAAAACTGGCAAGTGGTGTGGAACGTTGTGTATGAAAACCTTCAAGCACCTTAAAATAACATTGGCCACTTAAAAGAGGATGCACACTTTTCCAACAACGCCCGTCCGGGAAAGGCCGCGCTCGGGGGTGGACCTGCGGAATCCCAGCTGAGTCTGGGAGCCTGGACTGCCCTGGGGTCAAGATCGGAACTTGAACCCAGAGCCCCAAGCTTTCCTCCCACTAGTTTCTCATTGGAAGCACCCGGGACGTCTTCCCCGCGCTGGGAGGACGGGAAAGGGCATTCCCCTCTCTAGGCGGATTCAGCGGTGCCCAACCCGCTCCTCCGCTTCCTGATTGGCTCTGGTCCCTGTCAATTAAAAGTCTTCCCTAATGCTCCCGCCCTATTAACCCTATTGTCACTCTCTAGGGACCGGCGAGGCTAGTAGGGGGGTTATCTCCTTGGGACCTGTAGAGTCCACCGGCGCCTGTTGAAATTCAGATTCCTGGACCCTCCTCTTTCCAGAGAGACTGATTTAGTCGATGGGGCCGCGGATTCTCTATTGGGAACAAATGTCGGAGTGGTTCCGGGCCCCTCGCAGTCTGAGAAGCCCTCATTTCAACGGCCCTCCAGGTAGGGCTTGGGCCCAGTCCTTCCCTAGTACTGAGGGTCCAAGCTGGGAAGGAAGCAGTTCAGTGACCCCTGAAGACTGGCCTGGGCAGCTCTGAGTATTATGTAAAGGGAGGCAGGGGGAGGGGAGGTGGGCTGTCTGAGCTGGATGGGAGGACCAGGTTGCTCAGAGTCAGGGCCTATGCTGTCGCCTTCCAACCTCTCTAGGAAAGACTTTAGTAACTGGGAGGACGATCAGAGAGCACTGTCTAAAACCTGGGCACTTGGACTTTATCAACTTGGTGCATAGATCGTGCTTGCTTTCCTTGTAATACTGTATAAAATGGGGATTTCCCCCCCAACAAGTGATAATGTAGTTTAAAGGAGAATCAGATGTTCTCTCTTTCCCTTCTAAATGAGAAAATAAATCAGAAATCCTTCAGCATCCAGGGCCGACTTCATGAGTCTGAGACCTGTGCAGTAGCACAGGGCCCCATGCTTGGTTTGATGACTTGGTTAAATCCTCTGCGTGTCACTGGATGGAAGTTCTTAAACATGTTTTGAACGAGTACTGCATTTTCATTTTGCACTGGGCTCCACACATTGTGTATTAGCTCCTGGGCCACAGGTATTTCCATACATGGGCTCTGGTGTTCTCCTCCACACTCTGGCTTTCCGGGGCCCAGGGACACTCTTCTCTCTCGAAGCCAGAGCTGCTGGGAGCCTCACAGCCCCCACCCCACGCCAGCAATGGCTGAGCCTGGAGAGCAGCTGCCGGAGGAGGTGCTGGCGCTCATCTTCTGCCACCTGCCCCTGCGGGACCGCGCTGCCGCCGCCAGGGTCTGCAGAGCCTGGGCTGCTGCTGCCATCTGCAGCGCTGTGTGGCACGACACGACCGTCAGGTGAGCCCGTTCCTCCCCTCCTTCCTCTTGCCACCTTCCAGTCTTCTCCCTCTCTCCGTGGAGTCTGGGGGTTGGGGAGATTCAGTGAATCCCTGTATTAAAAAGAATAATAATTACGAACGTTTATTGACTGCCTACTATGTACCATTGTTATAAGTGCCTTACATATATTAATTAATAGATAGTATTATTATTTCCATTGCACAGATGGAAAATTGAGGCAGAAAGAGTTAAACACTTCCTGCAAGTCACTCAGCTAGAGTGTAGCAGAAGCGAGTGTGAACTTGGCTATGCATGTCTCCTTAGAGACCACTGAGAAAACCCAGTTCCTAAAACCCTGGCTCTCCATGCCAGGGTTTCAACTTGCATCAGATGTATCTGAAGTCTTCTAAAGGGATAGGGTGGGCGTTCCCTCCCAGCATTAGCGGCTAGTTTGGGGTCAGGGGTCAGGGAGGTGTGTGGGTAGGGAGCAGAAGGGGATGGTAGTTGGAATCCAGGCCCAGGGATGGGTAGAGGAGGCTTCTTTTCTGCTGTCGGGGACACAGCCCATGCTTTTTCTCCACCGCTCTAACCCCAAGTTGCTACTGTGAGCGAGAAGGCATGCTGCCACCATATCTGTCAGCCTGCCTGGACCACATTCGCAATCTGCGGCTGGAATTTGAGCCATCGAAGGAGCCGAGCCGCCGGATGGCCACGGAGCTGCTGACCGCACTGGCAGGCCGTACCCCAGGACTTCGAGGCCTGCGCCTGGAGTGTCTCGGAGAGAAGCCGCTCTTCGACGCGGGCCGCGATGTCCTGGACGCCGTGTCCGCCATCTGCCGGGCCGCTCGCGAATTGCGTCACCTCGACCTGCGGCGCTTGCCCTTCACTCTAGACGACGCGCTGGTGCTGCGGG